TCAGTACCCTTCCCAGGAATGCCGGGTATGTTGAGAGTAATAAATCTTTCAGGATGCTGGCAGTTCTAAAGTGAAGCCAGACCAGTTGATCATAAAGAGGTCTTAAAGCTTCCCCTGGAAGACACTAGTGCAACTGTAGAGACTTAACAAAGTCAAAGAGACTACTGCTCTTTGATTTGTCAGAAAGCATCACTGTTTGCTATTTCCTGATTACGACTTTTCTCTCTTCCCACTAACTGACCCCAGTTTAGTTCGGGAAGGTCAGGCAAACTCTGCCTATGGGGGCTATCATTCCTTCCTCTGTATGATGAACTAATTGCCCATTTTCAGTGCTTCTGCCAACACCCTAGTTGCGTTTCCAGTCCTACTATGCTGATAAGATCCCACTCCCATCTCACTCTGTTCCTGACACACCTACCAGATATATCTGATCACATCCTTCTCCTGATCAAAACTGTCATGAATCCCCCCTCCCAACCCAAGGCTACAGAAGACAGTCCATAGTTCTTCACTGACTTTTAAGCTACTCTAGTACAAAAACAGTTGCCAAGTGCTAACAATCAATAAGAAATAGTCATTTAATCAAAAACTTTGCTCCAGATTCTTTCAGTGCCTCTCTGGACTGCCTTCTGACATGTTACTAGCGGTCACTGCAACCCGTCCATGCTTCTTGCCTCCTGTGACATCAGAATAAAACTGTCACCCAATTCTGACACCACAACCTCCTCCTTTCTCTCACTGCTCAGCCTCCATATTACATCTCGGCTTGGAATTCAAGACTGGGCCCCTGGTCTCCTCCACATCACGGGCCTCTGGTGTCCTCATGTCATCTACTCCAAACTGCCTGCTCAAGACCTCCACTCCAGTCTAACCCAACCACCTCTGCCCCCTAAACAAGTCAATACTTCCTCACCTCTACACCTTTCACACTACTGTCTGCTGAGAATGCTCCCTTCTTCCCCTCTCCTACTCAGTTAGTTCTATTTTTTTCAAGCTGAAATCTTATCTACTTCGTTGAAACCTAGAGACCCAGAGCCATTTTCCCCTCTTTCAAACTCCTGGAAAAAGTGTTCATCACACTCATTTGGAAATGATCAAGTGGGAGGTACACACATTATTCTCTTGTGGGTATGTCCCATCTCTCTTCCCTATTTTCACTTCTTTACAAAAGCAAAGACCATGGGTTACATTTCTTTGATTAGAGTTGCTAACGATAAATGTTGTTTCAAAGATAAAACAATAAACATTTACAAAGTATCTTCTCGGTGAGTTCCCACCAAACACCAAGGAGAGTGTGGACAGTAGGCACTTGATATATGTCTAAAGATTTTAAATCCAATTCAACAATTAATTACTGAATATCAAGTATATAAATTTATTACTCAAGACACAATAGGGAACCAAAAGATGCAAAAGATACAGGCCTTAGCCTCGAGAATTTTGCAGTCTTGAAGAGAGCACTGTTTTAAAAACAGAGAAAAGTTGTATGCAGCTTTTTAAAAACTGTTATTAGAATTCAAAAGCCAGAGAACTGTTAAGAGTTCAGTAACTCAGAAAGGGTGAACCAGAATTCATGGCTGATTACAAATTATTTATTCCCAGGTTAAAATGTATTATCTTAAGAGCATCACAATTCCTATTAGGGAAGGTGTTATCTTTATTTAGAAAGAGAATGCAATGGACAATTTGGGTCTGAAAACAAGGCCCATAGGCAGGGTCTTGATGGAGAGAGCAGTTCAAAGGGAAATCTTATTTTCCCTTATTAGAAAATGTGAAGGATCGGGGAAGAAGGGTATTTCCAAAACAAGGAGAAGGAGGGCTAAGCTAGGGGAGTGTGGGAGCCCACTCCCCCGCAATTGCAAGAGCCAACCAGGCACATCTTGTCAAAGCCCCACATTCAGTAACGCCCAGTTGGTAGGCTGAAGTCAGCTGCAGTGGGAGTATTTATACCATGGAAATTGCAAATGTTACAAATCAAAGCTTTTTTTTAGAGTGAGTTGTGAACTATTTACCAGCACACGGCTGACGAAGCCATGGGACAGGAGGCAAAAGAGTGGGATAATGGGCGAGAAATATTTTAAACTCAGAGATGCTAAATATTCTATTTTAAGTTGCTGGTTTTGCCTCAACTAAAATTTCCTTATGTTCCCAATTTTCAGTAAAGTCCAATATAGAAATAAACACCTAGGGTGGATGTAGTGTGTGTGTTTACGTGTGTGTGTGAGTGTGTGTGTGTGTGTGTGTGTGTGTGTGTGTGTAAAATATGGAATAGGGTTGAATTCCATATTAGAGATGAAGAAGTGCTGAACAGGGAGCAAATTTGCTGGCTGCTGAAAGGATCCACGTACAAAACAAATTCAATGACAGTGGGAGCCTGCGACCATGGGCGATCGGGAAAAGGGGCAGAGAAAACAAGATGCTTGATGTTCCCCACTCCACATGGGGTTCAAGCCAACTGCACATGAATCTTGAAGGCAGAGAGCCTCCTGACCTCTGGGTTACAGAATTGATTGTAATTTAGTGCCCGTGCGTTTTATCACCTCAACTCTCTGCAATAAAAAAAACCTCCTGTATACCATGATATACACAAAGATCCTTAGCAAAACAACTCCCAGAAACTTCGGAAAATGACTCATTAGTCTCCATGAGGAAACCAATCTTTCAGAAATGGTGATTTCTAGGCTGAATGGTGTCAGGTGAGCCTTGTTACCAGGGGTAGCTGTTCCTCACTTTACTGTGGCCCAAGAATAAAATGATCTAAGCCTTTCTACATGGCTCTTTCTCATACTTTATTAAAATGTTGGGCAAGTTTTTTTTAATATCAGTACAACACCATATATTATTATCAGCTTATGATGATAATAATAAAAAAGTAATTCATGACAATATCTTTAATAGTTCAAGAATATCAAATGTCTTAAAAAGCTTGAAACATACCTTGAGGATTCTTGCTTCTAGATTTCTGACTAGGTCTTGGCAAATTCCAGAAACAAAATATTGGTACAATGCAAGAAGAGGCAGAATCTACCAACAGAAAAACACTCTTTGTTTTGAAACGTATTTTACCAAGTTAATAACCTAATAATACAATTTAGCCAAATACTGATGTAAGAGATGTTATGCAAAATTGTGATTGATCTTTCCATATTAGAAGACTGTACTGTTTGGTATAAGTGAAATGATCTGCCTAACGTATGTTTCATAATTTTATCAGAATTTTAAAGTGCTATCAGTGACTTAACAGTTCCAAGTAGATGCTACTTGATACCCAAAACCTAGGTTTCACATTTCCTTAAGCATGGAAAAATAAAAATCCAGTTAATCATCTTCCTTGAAAAAAAATTATTTCAACATATACGTATGAATTACTGAGGCCTGTGGAACCATTCTAGCAAATGAGCTACCAAATAAATGCCAAATTTAAAGCAAAGGAACTCACATCCATGTCCCCTAATAGCTTCTACTTATTCGTCTCAATGTCAGCTATTTGTCTTCAACTGGAATATCTCCATCATCAAAAAATATTTACAACAGGCCTGTTATATGTCAGACACTGTTGAATGAGAAAAAATCTAAGTCCGTGCCTTCATAGAGCATATATTCTACCGATTAAAACGCAAGCTTACTCTTCATATAACATTCTTATTTTCCTAAAATTAACCCCAAAGTTCAAGTCTTCTTGAAGTCCCATGGATATACGTGAAAGCTTGCAGACTATCAATTTTTCAATTGACCAAACCAGTATCCAGCTAAAGGCAGGTGTTGAGGGACAGTTTTGCTTAGACTTCTGAACAGCTCCTGATCTCAGCTTAAAACTGAAGCTCAGTCCCTAGAACTGGGTCCTGCTCCATCAAAGGCAGCTGGAGCAAGAAGGGGCACTGGGATCCTTATTATTTAGCAAACTATTTCCCATGATCCCACAGCAATGGGTCCCCTAGCAAATTTTATATGTTACAGCGGTCTCCTTAGCCACTGGGCTCCTTCTGGAAGGTAGTGTAATAGAAAATGGAAACTGTTTACATCTTGCAAGTTTAGCTAAGGAATCTCATTGTCAGTCAGTCAACTGGTGGCTGCTAACAGCAACAGCTTTTAAAAAGGACTAAAACTGGTCTTAAATGATTTCAAATATAACACAATACATTTTTCTACCATGGTGCTCTACAAACATAACACAATACTTTTTTCTGTAATTAATGCAGCACAAAACGAGTTGGCTATTACCTTTGAGATTGTTTCTTTTCTTTAGTGACAAATAAAAACATACCATTTTATTGCTGCCAATTGCTCAATTATTCAGAAAAATGTTCTCAATTTCTTAAGCTTCAGAGAAAAAAGTCTCATTTCTTTTCCAGGGCAGGGATATGTATTATATATGAATATGACCAGGCAGCTAGAAGTTACCCAGGGGATAAAAACTATTTTCTAAATCCAGAAATGAATCCCCTTAACAAGAGAGGAGCACCATTTTGCTATTTTTTTCTAATAAACAATTTTTTGCCAAATCTGCCAAGTGTTAAAAGCATGTATCAACCTCTTGACTTTAACACATGACATTATAATTTAACAACTAATATCAGGGGGAAGCAAATCTTTTCAATATAAGGAGAGAGTGAACTTAGAACAAGAGAAAACAATACATGAGAAAAAAGAAAGTAAGTATGAAAATTATAGAGGAAAGGGAAAGAAGCAGAAAAAGAGAAAGAACATATATTAACAAGCAAACACAGGGGAAAAGAGATACAGAGGTAGAGGAAATAGCACAGAGGAAGAAAAAAGGACAAATACGATAAAGGAGGAAAATATAAAATAACCAACAGAACACCCTAAATTATGTTTAAAATGCAGTCAACTTCAGATTTATGAGATACATACTGTGGTTTATTTCCCTAAAGGAAAAGAGAGTTGTATTTGGGTTTTTTTTTTTTTAATTTCCTAGGATATTAAGATGTGTCTGTCTTTAATTTCACAGTTAGAATCTGTTTTGCACTTAGATGTGCCCTTAACACAGAAAAGACAAGACACAAAGATAAATTTATCTCAATAAAGAAATACTCCCAGAGTTTCAATATTGATATGACCTGCATGACTTAATGCAGTGAAGTTATAAGTGCACTAGATTCCTGTGTTTGAGACCAGTGCAACACTCTAGTCAATTTCACCAAACGTCTTCTAAAAAAGGTAAAATAATAGAGTAAAATAAGAGAACAAAATCAAATAGGCATGGCTATTGTACCCAAAAGGCAATGCAAACAGTGATGTCAAAAGAAAGAATATTAATTCATACGTTTCATTTTGAAGTACAGATCTGAATCCCGAAAATAGAGTTTAAAAGTTAAATAGGAACTGACCAAAACTACATTATTAAAACTTGAAAAGTATAAGATAAATGGGGTAAGATACCACAGTGAATTAAGATTTGTCGATTTTACAAATCACTTACTATTAGATTTTGCTTAGCAAAGTGCAGTTCGCGGATTACGTAATATAGACTTGCAACTACAGAGCAGATGTCAGCTCGGTATCTGTCCGAGAAGAGCTCGATGCCAGGAAGAAGCTGAGTGATTTCATACTGAGCATAGCAACGTTCAGCTTTAGGGTGTAGAAGTGTGGTTCTAAGCAAACCCTGTAAATGAAAAAGGTGAAATGAAGAGCTGGAACTTGCAACAACGAGACAGAAAGATAAGTACATGTATTACTTCCCAAAGTGCTTTGCGTATGCCTAGCACACTGTATCCTGTAATAAATTATACTTATCAATATCCTCATGACTATAGGTTCCAAATGCTTTTACCACTCAAGATGGGCCTTTTAAATTCCATGGTAGTTGAATAATTATCATTTTAAGAAGAAATTATTATATTAAGTTATCATTTGTTGAGGGTCAGTTTTGTGTTGGGCACTCTTGGTAAATTCTTTGTAAATATTATCTCATTTAATCCTCACTTAACCTACCGCTAGAAGGAAGGATTATTATCTCACAAGTGATATAACTGAGGCTTAAACAATTAACTTCTCTGAGGTCACACAGCTAATGATGGCAAAAAGAAGATTCAAAGTCATGTCTATGTAACTCAAAAATCTATGTTCTTTCCACTATACCAACCTATATAAGCAGAGGAAAGAAAAACGTATTTCAGAAGTCCAAATCAAGCAGAGGTAATTTTGAATTTTTATTGAATTAAGTAAAAAGTTGATTTGTTTAATTGACCAATATTTCTTAGGTAATTTATATGACCAACGTTGTACCAGACATTCAGAAACAAGATGAATACACAAAATCAAATTGTACATTTAGGAGTGCTTCTTATGTTATCTTAAACAATTAACATTTCTTGATGACAAATGCATCATAAAGTTATTTTAATGTATATATCTGGAACAAATTTTAATCAGATTGCTCATTAAACTTATGACACCTAGTCTAAAATATTACACAGTTGTTTAATTTTTAGTTTTACAAATTTTCTTTAAAATCATAAAAAGAGCAGGTTTTAAAAATAAATCCCCCAGCTAATTTTAAGTGTCATTACAAAGAAATGATGTCCACGTTTAAGCAAAAAATTACTTATTTCTAAAACATAAACAGCATTATCTTCAGGAATGAGGAATATCAGAAGAAAGTAAAGGATGCAATAGAAGGAATCCAATTCGGATTATCATTCCCTTTGCATCCTTGCCTCTTCCACCTTTTCCCTTTGAAGCACAGGCCAGAAGTGTATGGAACATAAGAAAATTGAAAACTCTGGCCACATGCTCATCCAGATTTCATAAGCTATTAGACTCCTTAGAACAAGGGTGTCCCATCCTTCAAAGTAAACAGAACCTTCAGGAGATTGCAGAGGCCCCTGGCTATATTCCCAAATCTTAGAATGTCTCGTATTTCAGATAAAAGCTCCTTTCTTCTTCAGTAAAGTCAAACCCAATTCCTAAGAACTGCAGACACTCTACTTATATAGTCTTCAACTTATTTTTTGCTTTCATTATATGGTATATTTTACATCACGCAATTGAGCAAAACTTTATTTAGAGATGAGGCCACTTAAGGCAACCCTTTAGACTCAGTCAGATTCGCTTCACTGCTCATTAGTAACATAACGAAGGACAGGAGACTTAGTTTCCTTATCTGTAAAACTCCTCCTTCTGTAGCGAAAATGAAAACAGTGACTCTGCTGAATATTATGCCACAGGGGTTCAGCCATTGAAGGAAAGAGGGGCTTATGATATTTAATCAAGGTTCATGCTATTTCCCTACGTGCAAGTTTTATGAATATGCTAAACCACTGCATTTTTTTTTTTTTTTTTTTTAACTGACTGCATGGTCTGGCTACTGTAGAAAGGTATACAGGAAGTGTTACCTGAAAGAGTAACCCGGACAAAAGGCAACAGTTGGTTCTCTTTTCAACGTCCAATGTCTGAATAAATCTAAGTATAAGAAAAAGAAACATTCATAGACAATGTTCCAAGACTATTTTTATACAAATACATCTCTAATACTCATAGATTTTCCAAAATTAAAATAATCTTTGTGATTCTAAAAGTGCTACATACTCATATAAGATCTAGGACATAGAAAGATAGAAAAAAAAAATAAAATGAAAAGTCACCTATAATCCTACCACCTAAACATGATTACTGGTAACATTTTGGCCACTTTCCTTCTAGAGTTTCTTCTACATACAATAATACACATGCACACTCACAGTAAGACTAAAATTATGCAATACATATTATTTTATAAACAAATTTTCTATTCTTGGACATAATGAGTTACATCATTATTTTACAGATTTTAATATTTTTTCATATGCATGTACCATAATATTAAAATATTCATCTCCATTTTGGTTTTTTCCAATGCTGAAATAAACATTGTTGTACCTACATTTCTGAGCACTTGTCCTATTAATTCCACTGGATAAATCCCTAGAAGTGGAATTTTGGGGAAAAGGAGGTGCACAATTTTAAATCAAATTTTTGATGAGTACAATTTAAAAATTTCCTCCCATAGATTTAAACAATGTGTTTCCTCACCAGCAGTATATTATGGATCCATCGATGACATTAAGTCTTTCCACCAACGATTAAGGTAATATCTCTGTGTTTACTACTGTCTCATTTTATGTCCCTTAGTAGAGTTTGAGTTTTCTTTACATGGGTCTTGAAACTCAAATTTGCAACTGTTAACCACATTACCTTCTTCTAAATCTTATTTCAATAACACCAGTGGGCTTCACTATATTAATAACTTCGTCAGTCCGAGTTCAGTTTCTCTATGTGGTGCTTTACCTTCTGAACAGTGCGGGGAGAAGTTTCTTCTCCTCAAGGAGTCCCCAAGAACAGCCAAAGCCCCTGGAGTATCACAGAGCCTGTGGAAGTCAGATTTCCAGCTGGGTAACCAGGAAATGACTTTCTGTTGATTGAAAACCACTAAGTAAAAACTTCAGAGGCTCAGAGAAGCTGAGGTGTCCTCTGGCAGGAATG